ATTGCACATAGCTTTGGATTCTGTGCATTAGTGGACACTCAATATTGACTAACACAAAACTTTCTAATGTAGGTTCTTTGCTTTTCACTACATACACATTGCACTTAACAAAATCAGACATTTTTACATAACTTATATATGTTAGCTGGGTTTTTAAAAATGTATTTTCACACGTTTCTTTATCATTTCTTTGTAGAATTTATATTTCTCAAAGGCAGAAACTACTATATCTTTAGTGACTTCAGTACAGGACAACCATTTCTCTCTCTTCCACTTGCTGCCCCACTCTTTTTTTTTTTTTTTAAATTCAGTAAAGTGTGAAAAGAGCCAATTTCAGGTGAATATCTTGATGAATTTACCACTCAGATGAAGATATAGAACATTTTCCCTCACTCCTTAAGTCTCCCTCAAACCCATTTACAGTCAATAATAACTCTCCACCCCGAGAGGCAAATCGTATTTTTACTTCCATCACCATCAATTAATTTTGCCTGGTTTTGAACTTATAGAAGTAGAGGCATACGGTATGTACTCTTGTGTGTGTCTGCCTTCTTTTGCTCAACATGTGAGATTCATATTTTTGCATTTATTGCAGTTTTTCTAATTTTATTGCTGTGTAGTATTTCACTGTATGAATAAACCACTGATTTACCATTCTCCTAATGATAGGCATTTTGGTTGTTTCCAGTTTGAGCCATTATGAATAAAACTTCTGTGAACATTCTTCTGTGTCTTTTAGTGTGTGTGTGTGTGTGTGTGTACTTGGGTATATTCTTAGGAATGGAATTTCTGCCTCATAGAATAGACTTTTTGTAGTTTGGGTAGTTATTACCAGTTTTCTAAAATTTTTGTACAAATTTCATTATTTTACATTTAATAATGTTAGTTAACTAATTCTGTGAGTAAAACATAAGTACCCTATGTCTTTGCATTATGGTGAAATAAATAGGCTAAAATTTTTGTGTGCATCCTACATGCAGATTTGAAAATACAGTCTGGATAATTCAGTCATCTGCCCCACCCTTCCCCCCACCACCAAAAAAGTCCTTTGTCTGAGTTATTTTTATAATTCAGGTGACGTCTTTTTAAAGAACAATATGAACAATTGCTTGTTCTCTTTATTTTTTGTGAACATCATAAAATAACACCGTGCAATTCAACAGATATTTATTAG